GTGTGTGTGTGTGTGTGTGTGTGAGTGAGTGTGTGTGAGCGTGAGTGAGTGAGTGAGTGAGTGTGAGTGAGAGTGTGAGTGAGTGAGTGAGTGTGTGAGTGAGTGTGTGTGTGAGTGAGTGAGTGAGTGAGTGAGTGTGTGTGTGTGTGTGCGTGTGTGTGTGTGTGTGTGAGTGAGTGTGTGTGAGCGTGAGTGAGTGAGTGAGTGAGTGTGTGTGTGTGTGTGCGTGTGTGTGTGTGTGTGTGAGTGAGTGTGTGTGAGCGTGAGTGAGTGAGTGAGTGAGTGTGTGTGTGTGTGTGCGTGTGTGTGTGTGTGTGTGAGTGAGTGTGTGTGAGCGTGAGTGAGTGAGTGAGTGAGTGTGTGTGTGTGTGTGCGTGTGTGTGTGTGTGTGTGAGTGAGTGTGTGTGAGCGTGAGTGAGTGAGTGAGTGAGTGTGTGTGTGTGTGTGCGTGTGTGTGTGTGTGTGTGAGTGAGTGTGTGTGAGCGTGAGTGAGTGAGTGAGTGAGTGTGTGTGTGTGTGTGCGTGTGTGTGTGTGTGTGTGAGTGAGTGTGTGTGAGCGTGAGTGAGTGAGTGAGTGAGTGTGTGTGTGTGTGTGCGTGTGTGTGTGTGTGTGTGAGTGAGTGTGTGTGAGCGTGAGTGAGTGAGTGAGTGAGTGTGTGTGTGTGTGTGCGTGTGTGTGTGTGTGTGTGAGTGAGTGTGTGTGAGCGTGAGTGAGTGAGTGAGTGAGTGTGTGTGTGTGTGTGCGTGTGTGTGTGTGTGTGTGAGTGAGTGTGTGTGAGCGTGAGTGAGTGAGTGAGTGAGTGTGTGTGTGTGTGTGCGTGTGTGTGTGTGTGTGTGAGTGAGTGTGTGTGAGCGTGAGTGAGTGAGTGAGTGAGTGTGAGTGAGTGAGTGAGTGTGTGTGAGTGTGAGTGAGTGTGTGTGAGTGAGTGTGAGTGTGTTACCCAGTGATCTCAGGTTGCTCTCAGCGGTGAGTTTGGCCTCTGCGAGTAGCTCGTCTTGTGTCAGCACTCGTTCGCTCAGAGCTCCTCTCCTCTTGCGTGGTGCCTCCAGCTGACGCTCCTGCAGACGCTCGTTTGTCTGCCGCGTGTGCTCGCTTGTCGACTTACGCACCGACTTACGCACTGAAACACACAACGACAACCTTATAAAGCTACTTTAATACACAAAAGACCTCTAAATGATCAACTGTTAAACCGTCTCACACTCAATCTCCTCATGTCTTCTGTCTCTGATTGAGAGTGTTTATCCAGTAAAAGCTCTTTTAGTGTAATTGTACAAGCGTCTAGCTTCAGCTGGAGCTTCTCGTGTTAAATCTGGACTGGTTTTGATCAAGTAAAGGTCAGAATAACATCAGTAATATCTCCAGATGAACACTCACTGGACTGAAGCAGCTCAGCTTTACTTGATTCTCCATCAATCATGTTTTAGAGTCTCAAATCTGATCCTCAGGATCTTTTGAGGAGCGTTTGTTTCCAGAAGCTTTACTTTCACTGTTCCTCAGCGGAGGAATGATCTTCACAAGCCTCCAGAACATCTCACATCTTCTGAGGAGCCTTTATTTCTTCAGCTCTCCATCACTGCATTATATGTTTGGAGCATTTCACTCTCATCTTATTACTGGAGATATAGAGCCACGACTGATACTTATAGCATTTTATGTTATGAAGATCTCACTGCTTTACATTAAAAGCATCGGAATTTCATCATATTAATATCAGCATCTGATGCAAATTCATATTTTGAGTCTCTGAATAAAATGGAGACGTGTTTTTTTTTTTGCTTTAGTTTTAGTTAACTATAAAACCGTCTATAATTTTTTTATTTGAGCTGTTTTAGCAGATCAAGTTAACCTTAATGAAAAAGAGAATACAATAAGTTTAAAGTGATCCAATAAAACAGAAGATCATTTAAAATGAACAAAAAAACAAAGCATTTCCGTTACTTGAACATTACCTGAACTGAAATAAAAATAAGTTTTATTGCAGCTAGTTCCCAAGCCAACATTTCTCATTTTCATTCAGTTAAACCAGAATAACTAAAACTAAAGTAAAAATGAATACAAATTAAATAGACATAAAAATTACAAAAACAGAAATTAATAAGAAAACAGAAAACATAAAAATAAAAACTAATTCAAAACATTTATAAGTGTGTGTGTCTCACTTTCTCCAAACTCCTCCAGCTCTAGAAAGGTGCGTCTTTCCACTTTAGGCCGTTCAGTCTTTAATTCTTCAGAAACTCGCTTCACTTTGGGCTTCGAGACCTTCAGCGGCTCCTGAAACACACACACACACACACACACACACACACACACACACACACACACACACAGAGAGTCATGCAGGAGCAGATGTGTTGAGTGTGTGTGTTCGAGTGTGTGTGTGTGACGCCTGACCTTGTACGCTTTAGTGACCACGCGGCTCTTTCTGCGAGGAGCATCGTCTTCCTGATCGCTGTTGGGTTCGTCTCCTTCATCGATGTCAAAATCACTGTCCACCTCGTCTTCAGTGTCTGAGTGATCTCCTCTGTACTCGTCATCTCCAGACTCCTGCTCAACACACACAAGACACACACACAAGACACACACACACACACAAGACACACACAGACACAGACACAGACACAGACACAGAGACACACACACACAGACACACACACAGACACAGAGACACACACACACACAGACACAGACACAGAGACACACACACATACACAGACACAGACACAGAGACACACACAGACACACACGCACACACAGACACAGAGACAGACACACACACACACACACC